TGTATATGTAGATATATATATATATGTATATATATATATCCAATTAAAATCATCATTTTTGTTGGTTAAATCCCATTTTCAAATGTCATTTCCCTCAGAAATTCCCCCGGCATCGGTATCCACTGCACCTCCACTGCCCTGGCCGACAAACAACGAGATGCCCACGGAAGGTTCTTTCCGATGATCAGATGACGTACCCTCTGGTAAACTAACATAGCTATTGACAATGGCCCAGTCGAAATAGTGGATTTACCCATTAATAGCATGGTGATTTTCCATAGTTATGTTAGTTTACCAGAGGGTACCATGGAAAACTTCGTGGTACTAAACGTAGGGAATGGATGGGTTGCTGGGGGTTGCTGGGATGACTATTGATAGTCAGCCAGTGGATCATTCCCGAAAATTCCCTGCGTTTAGCACAAGTAAGAAAATGATGGAAAATCATGGAAAATGATGACAAGTCTCATTCTGCGTACCACTTGATTCGCAATCTGCTGATTGTTCACTATGAATCATGATTCATCCGTTTTCAAGTGTTGTTCGATAACAAAAATGTTGATCAACCACGGGGTGGAATGGGGTTCCCAACTCTTAAAACGGAAAAACATGGCATAGTTCAGAAAAAAAAAATATCAAGAGACCAGCAGATTTTGTGAAAAACAAAAGTTCAGTAATTCAACCAGCATGCAAATCGTGGCAGCTGACACATTTGCACAGCACACCTGCGTAGCTTGTTGATAGAGAGAAGCCCAATAGGCAGCGCTCATGTCGTAGCCAGCAGCCAGATTGGCAATGCCTCAATTGCCATGCCAGGATGCAATTCCCATCAATTTGATGTCCTTTTGGTAAAAATAGAGGGGCCGGGAGCTGGTATACCCTCTGGTAAACTAACATAGCTACTGAAAATGGCCATTTATAGTGGATTTTCCCATTAAAAATGGTGATTTTCCATAGTTATGTTAGTTTACCAGAGGGTACCATCTATCATCATAGAAACCTGTGGTTAAAGGGGTTTCCAAACAAACCCCTCTATTTTCATCAACCAATGTCATTGGGGGTAGAACCAACATGTCAGATATCAACATCGCCAGAGGGGTGGAACCAACTCAGCATGGAAAACCTCATTCAAAACACATCGGATCATCGGTTGATTCATAGCTATCCCGTGAAAATCATGGCTTATCCAATAATACCCAATAAATATCAACAACTACCTGGTAGTATAACACCTAAGCGCCCCCTTTTTTCCAACCTGTTCATCATTGCAAAAATTCTTACAAGGTGAGACCCCCAGGTATAACTTGGTTTATAGACCCACGAATACTAGAGTTATATTATCCTCGATAAAACCAAACATCAACCAAGTTTATCCTCACCTTGACGCCTTGTACCTCCCACTGACCTGTTCATCAACAACTATAACCTCCTTAGGTGGAAATAAATATCAACAACTTAGGTAGTATACTCCTGTAAGAACAGTAGTTTGTTCTTACCTCCCTTGTTTTTTCCCCAAATGTTGTTCTTCGTCCAGTGGCCATATGCAGAATTCGGCTGCCCGTAGGGGCCAGCACCATGGCCTCGCTTGCCTCCATAAATTTCAAACTGTCCGGGCTGATTTCAGGTGGATTAATGACCCAGTCCCCTTTGGCAAATAAAAATAGGTTATAAATGGGTTATAGTATGGTTATGATGGTTGCCGTCTGGTTAACTGATATGGTATATGATTCTAGCACCAGGGTATATAAAACCCTAGTAACATATATCATATAACTAGAATCTAACCTGGCTTATAAAGTGGATAGTAACCATGAATCTAACATGGCTTATAAATGGTTATAGTCTGGTTGTTACGAATCTAATCCAACTGGCTTATGAATGGTTTCTGAAACTGTGATATCGCTAACCCACCTGGGAAGTGGGATGCACATCATCATATCCATCCCCCCGGCCGAGTAGTGAATTTCCCTATGACCTTCAACAAAGAAGGCAACAAGGGCAACAAAGCCCTTGTCAATCCATGTTTTTGAAACATGTCAAAAAACATGCATGTCATGCCACGTGGAATTATCCAGTCTCATGACATGAAATTGACATGACGGAACATTTCAACTTCCATCTTTGTTTTTTCTCCCACCCTCCCTAACCCTACAAAAGGGGGGAAGGTGGAAACCGAACCACTCGGGTCGGATTGCACCTCCAGTGGCCTTTCCATATCCTGGGAAGGGTCGAAGATGGTCGAAGGCTGCCGTACCGCGAATGTCCGCAATGAAAAACACAATTTATCACCTAAGCTTACACCATGCGTCAGAATTTCTCCAAACTGATTTTTTGTTGCTCATAAAATATATCTTAATATCTCTTAATAACTCTTAATACCTGGGCCAACCTCTGCCTTCCGATGCCTGTCTGCTGTTCATTCTCTCCTTTCCAGAGACGGGAGGTCAAGCCTGTTGCGAAAATATCAAAAATGGACCTGCTCAACTGGTCATTTTGGCATTAAACCATCCATTTTTTCGAGCCCAAATTGGGGCCATTCCCAAGTTACTCCCTTCCCTCCAATATTTTTCATAGTCCCTTCCCCAAAAAAGAACATCAAAAGTACTGGGTCGGTTCATCCCAATGGTCCAAAGTCCATGCAATCCCCGGCGTCGCCTTTTCCTCCAGCTGCACCGCCACCGCCCTTCAACTGGCTGCCAGGATCACCCGGGGATTCAATCTTCACCCTGACCGCCTGCGCGAGACTGGAATCAGCTGCGGAGTTTCCCTCAGTGGTGAAACCACCACTGCAATCGATGGTTTTTTTTTGGTCCGATGGAGAATTGGTTGTGTTCCACTTCGATGTGAGTTATCCTGAGGGTAGTATGGCATGAACAACCATTGTGACAAGGGAATGTATTTCCAGACAACAAATACGCACTGGAAAATTCCCGATCTGCTTCGATGATTTCATTCAAAAAGATGATCTTCCCAAATTTAAATCTCCAGTCAACAAGAAATTTTCCATGGGAATCTGATGGAATCTGCCTTGCCAGCCATTTCCCGGCTACGGATGGTACCTTGGTCTTTCCATTTCGATCATTGATCTCCAAATCATAGCTCAACTTGGCTCCGGGGATCATATCAGCCTCACCTCGCAGAAGTGACGATCAACGTGATCAACGGGGGCATTGGCTCGGTCGGGGCTCGGTAGGGGATTGGCCGACCCATACAGTCATCAAATGATGTAGAAAATCAGGGAATCATGGTTTTTGCCCATGAACATGGAGGATTCACATGATTCACCATTGAAGATGGCCATAGAAAATTCGGAAATGGCCAAAACGATGCAAGTTTTCGAGTTTTTCCCAGCTTCACCGTGTGAACACCGTCTGTGAGCTTTCCAGGTGCGCCTCCGTTGATCACGGCCTGAAAGTGAATGAAGACATCTTCGGTGCCGTCGTCTGGGGCAATGTAGCCTGGCTGATATATCTGATGGGCGGACCTCGGACCTCGGAACTTGGAATGATATGACTTGGGGTCCCTAAAATGGGGGATCCCCAAGTCACCATAGGTTTCAATAGGTCTAATGACTCCTAATGACTTAGATTTGGGGGACCCCCATGACTTTGGAGACAACCATTTCTTTGCGTCCACAAAGATTCTGTGAAATGGGAAAGAAAAAAATGTGTTTCTGACAATGATGATATACTTTTTGATCTTTTTGTGATGACTCAATGGTTGAAATGTGCGTTTCTCACGTGTACCAAAATGTACCAACAAACCAACTGTGCCCTTGGCGAAGGGCTATGGCTCAAGATCTAGGCCATTCGTGGCACCACATTCTTCTGGATTGGTCATATAAATGCTGGAACCGTCTGCATGAATTAGTTCATACGAACCTGAAAGCTCAGTCATTAAGCTGGATAGTTACCCCACCAGTGATGTGGCGACCTGATGTCTCCGAATCGCTCAGTTCACCATTGCTTCCAGTATACCACCATGTTTTGGATGGCTTTTCCATCCATTTTATCCAAAGATATCCTTATGGTCATCCATTCTACCACCATGTTTGCCATGGCAATCCATGGTGAAAAATCCCATCAAATCCCACATGGTTGGCGCGCCTATGCCCTTCTCGGCGAAGAATTTCTTCAGGGTTCCGGTCCTTGGAATTTCGCATGGGAAAACATGGGCGTTTACTGACCATCATTTTATGGTATCATTGAATGTGGTTAAAGCAATCCAAGCAATCCATTTTCGCCACCCAGGAAAATGGGAACGGTAAGTTTATACCACCCATTATAAAATGGTGATGACTGAGGGATGGTTTACTATTGGTTTAACCACATTAATGGGATGTGAATGGGATTTGAAAGCAAAATTTACTTGGATTTCTCTAACCATTTTTTGAGTGGATACTTACCAGGCGTGGAAGTGGATCATCAGATCATCCCCTCCCCCTAAGATGAAACACCCCCAAACGAAACCATGGTGGATGCAGGGAATGAAAACACATAATTGGGACCATAGAATGGGGTTGTTTAATATTAGGTGTTAGACAGATTTAGACAGATATTTTTTATGGGATAGTTAATTGGATTTAATGGGATGCTAATGAGATTTAATCGGACTTTTCATGCGATTTTTAATAGGGGCTCCCCCAGACTAATCATCCACGTTCTCAAGTCCAAGGCTCTGAGCCATGGCGCGCTTGATCAGTGTCAGAAGACTTTTTGCAACAGAAATCTCATGTGACATGAGTGAAATCTGCATTTTGTGATATATCTGATGAGATTTTTTTGATGAAATCATGCTGCGCTCTTGGCTAGTTGTCTACTAAATCTAAACCGCTTCCATGTGTTGACATCAACTTATCACTCCATGCTGTTTGCTGTCTGAGCACGAGCTATGGAGTCAGTCCCCAAGAGCTGTGGGGGAAAAAAAGCAACTTCCACCACTGCAGCCTACCAACACAATCCGCTTGGAAAATGACACCAGCACAATGCAATGGCAGTGATGTCCTCCTCTTGTGTACCTCGCAAGGAAAAGTCCTGCCCATGCAGAGCCAACAGGGTTGCGAACAGTCTCCGCAACACTGTCTGAAATCTAGAACAAACTGCGCCAAGCCAAAACTCAGCACATCACACCCATCTACCAAAACCATAAAAAACCATGCAGACTTCAACATGCCCTCTTTCTCTTGCGCTCAGATTCTCGGGTAGCAGTTCGTGATCAGTGCTTGCCGCTCACAACGCAATGAAGGTGAGTGCTGCTTATCTCATCATCTCCAAGTTTCACATGTCGCACTACAAACTCACAATAAGCACAATAGACTCATGCGAACAAGAACAGTTTACGTTCAAGGCTGATTAACCACCCACAACTGTTGTAGACTGTGGCTCAGAACCATGACACAGGTTCAGAAATCTCATTCCCTGCGGTTGGAGATGTTTGAGCTTTCCCTATTCATCTCTGCCAGTAATCCCTAGCACATGGAACCCCATGCCAAGCAAATCAAGCTCAATTCCACACAAGATTCTCTTGCGCTCAGATTCTCGGGTAGCAGTTCGTGATCAATGCTTGCCGCTCACAACGCAATGAAGGTGAGTGCTGCTTATCTCATCATCTCCAAGTTTCACATGTCGCACTACAAACTCACAATAAGCACAAGTTTACGTTCAAGGCTGATTAACCACCCACAACTGTTGTAGACTGTGGCTCAGAATCATGACACAGGTTCAGAAACCTCATTCCCTGCGGTTGGAGATGTTTGAGCTTTCCCTATTCATCTCTGCCAGTAATCCCTAGCACATGGAACCCCATGCCAAGCAAATCAAGCTCAATTCCACACAAGATTCTCTTTCGCTCAGATTCTCGGGTAGCAGTTCGTGATCAATGCTTGCCGCTCACAACGCAATGAAGGTGAGTGCTGCTTATCTCATCATCTCCAAGTTTCACATGTCGCACTACAAACTCACAATAAGCACAATAGACTCATGCGAACAAGAACAGTTTACGTTCAAGGCTGATTAACCACCCACAACTGTTGTAGACTGTGGCTCAGAACCATGACACAGGTTCAGAAATCTCATTCCCTGCGGTTGGAGATGTTTGAGCTTTCCCTTTTCATCTCTGCGAGTAATCCCTAGCACATGGAACCCCATGCCAAGCAAATCAAGCCCAATTCCACACAAGATTCTCTTGTGCTCAGATTCTCGGGTAGCAGTTCGTGATCAATGCTTGCCGCTCACAACGCAATGAAGGTGAGTGCTGCTTATCTCATCATCTCCAAGTTTCACATGTCGCACTACAAACTCACAATAAGCACAATAGACTCATCTTAGCCAGCAAATCACCAAAGTATATACATGGCCTTCAATCAAACTGAGCTCAATCCCGCACAGGACTCACGGCATTGTCACCATGGGAGGTTGTGCTGCTCTTTGCACCGTCAGCCTATGAGTGGTGTGAATTCTTGGACTCATCAAGTGGGCCTCAGCCGAACGAGACCTGACAAGATTGTCCTCATCATTCAGGTGAGGAGCATCATGCACAGTCTTCAAGCTGGTGCAAAGTCCGCAAGTTGGTTTCAACTACTTCTGGAGCATCCTCCATGCGAACATTGGGGCCAGTTCACGTTCAAGGCTGATTAACCACCCACAACTTTTGTACATTGTGGCTCAGAATCATGACACAGGTTGAGAAGCCTCATTCCCTGTAAGGGTCGGAGAAGTTTGAGGCTTACCCTATTCATCTTAGCCAACAATCCTAGTACATGGACATGGAACACACTCAATCAAACTACAGTACATAAGCTCTATTCCACACAAGACTCACGGAATTGTCACCATGAGAGGTTGTGCTGCTCTTTGCACCGTCAGCCTATGAGTGGTGTGAATTCTTGGACTCATCAAATGGGCCTCAGCCGAACGAGACCTGACAAGATTGTCCTCATCATTCAGGTGTTCAAAGTTGCATTTTGCGAGGATCTTGGCTTTGCTCAAGAACTTGACTTTCGGTAAAAATTGAGCTCAGCATCATTCGCACTTTCTGAACCCTCACTCCCCAAGGGGTCAGCACAGATTTCGAGACTGACTCGATTCGTCCTTGCTGCAAGCAGATGCAACCACCAAGCCTGCCTTTCGAACACCACCAGGCCCACTTAGTCACTTTCACACAGCAAGTGCAAGAGCATATTGGAGTCTTAGTCATAGTAGCTCAGAATCATGACACAGGTTGAGAAGCCTCATTCCCTGCAAGGGTCGGAGAAGTTTGAGGCTTACCCTATTCATCTTAGCCAGCAAATCATCAAAGTATATACATGGCCTTCAATCAAACTGAGCTCAATCCCGCACAAGACTCACGGCATTGTCACCATGGGAGGTTGTGCTGCTCTTTGCACCGTCAGCCTATGAGTGGTGTGAATTCTTGGACTCATCAAGTGGGCCTCAGCCGAACGAGACCTGACAGGATTGTCCTCATCATTCAGGTGAGGAGCATCATGCACAGTCTTCAAGCTGGTGCAAAGTCCGCAAGTTGGTTTCAACTACTTCTGGAGCATCCTCCATGCGAACATTGGGGCCAGTTCACGTTCAAGGCTGATTAACCACCCACAACTTTTGTACATTGTGGCTCAGAATCATGACACAGGTTGAGAAGCCTCACTCCCTGTAAGGGTCGGAGAAGTTTGAGGCTTACCCTATTCATCTTAGCCAACAATCCCTAGTACATGGACATGGAACACACTCAATCAAACTACAGTACATAAGCTCTATTCCACACAAGACTCACGGCATTGTCACCATGGGAGGTTGTGCTGCTCTTTGCACCATCAGCCTATGAGTGGTGTGAATTCTTGGACTCATCAAGTGGGCCTCAGCCGAACGAGACCTGACAAGATTGTCCTCATCATTCAGGTGAGGAGCATCATGCACAGTCTTCAAGCTGGTGCAAAGTTTGCAAGTTGGTTTCAACTACTTCTGGAGCATCCTCCATGCGAACATTGGGGCCAGTTCACGTTCAAGGCTGATTAACCACCCACAACTTTTGTACATTGTGGCTCAGAATCATGACACAGGTTGAGAAGCCTCATTCCCTGTAAGGGTCGGAGAAGTTTGAGGCTTACCCTATTCATCTTAGCCAACAATCCCTAGTACATGGACATGGAACACACTCAATCAAACTACAGTACATAAGCTCTATTCCACACAAGACTCACGGAATTGTCACCATGGGAGGTTGTGCTGCTCTTTGCACCGTCAACCTATGAGTGGTGTGAATTCTTGGACTCATCAAGTGGGCCTCAGCCGAACGAGACCTGACAAGATTGTCATTGGAAGTATTGCAGGCTGACCGCACAAAAAACCTCCTCCAATAAAACCAAACCATCTCACGATGCAAAAGTTGGCGCAAGACCATTAGAAAAGTCCACAACAAGCTTTGTCAAGGTTGCCATAAGAGGTGTGAGATTCACGTCCACCACTTCCCGCGTTAACGTCCTGCTGCCACTGCTTCTCGTGGCCTCAAGACGTGAACGTCGTTGTGGGTTTTTTTGGGGCACTGCAACAGATCAGCGGGATCAAGCACCGGACTGTTCAGTTGGAGTTTCCAGCCGGCTGCGCCCTGACACCTGAGGAGTGCCAGCCCAAGAATCATGGGGCTAGTGGGGGGTATTGGATGATTGGAATGATTGGATGACCTCTGATGGCTTTTTTTGCTTTGCCAGAGAAAATGAAGAATGAAATCATGGTTCTACTCGCCAAGTGTCCATTTCCAGTAACTTCCTTCCACCAAAAAATGGGATGGTCATGGTGGCTTCTAATACGTATGACTCATATGACCCAAAAAATTGTCATTTCATTGGGCTTGAGTAGAAACCTTCGCGGTCCAAATCGGTGTCCGCCAAAAAGGTCCTCTGACTGTTGATATGGGTATGGGTCAAAGCCCTTAGTGAACGCCAAAACATGTGCATCCTCAAGTTCAAATTACGCATTATGAGTATTGATCCGTCCCCACATCCCTATATTCTGATATTGGAATCGCCATGTTTTGCTATTTAAGTCACCATTTGTGTTCTTAAATCACCATGTTTGATTCGATGCTTACTCCCCATTTGTGTAATCAATGTTGGTTGAAGCGGTTGATCTCCCCATCCAGTATCAACTATATGATAGACATACATATAGTGTTGTGTTGTATGTATATACATACATACATACATACATACATACATACATACATACATACATACATACATACATACATACAT